CATCGAGTGTTCACTTTCAGCGCTGAGGAGTGTTGAGAAAAGAAACCTCGTAAGGGCGGCTAGCCTCCCTTCTGATATCAACCAATCACCATAGAGACCTAAATTACGTGATATTAGTTTGAACGTCTGCCGCTGCGCTGATAATGTACCAAGTACTTATGATGAGTAGCGATATTGAATATTTGATTGCCAACAGATTTACCAAGCTGTCATTCAAACAGTATATATATATAAAAATAAAAATAAAGGAAAACAGCCTAAGCTGGATATAGGCTACAGCAGTCGGCTTAATTAAATGGCATAACAGGCAGCTCTCTTTTAACACAGACTTTTAAGAAGGGATGGATGTTTGCTTCAAGTGATAGGCCAGGTAAGTAAAATTATATTATCTTGCTGTATGTATGTCGTTTTCTTTACGTTTTCTGACTAAAAGCAACCAAAAAGCCATTTTAAAGTGGTTAAGCAAATAATAATAATAACAATAATAATCGGCAGGGATCCCAGACCAATACAATTAGTGTGCCTCATCTATTTAAAACCCACGAGCCGCCACTGTTTAGGAGAGAATGTACTTGTCTGGACTTCAAATATGCGGTTTGTTAATAAAGATAACGTCTATTTGAAAATTTGCATCAACGTTTTCAGAGATGTGAGCTCCAGGGCGTCAGCGGCCATTCAGCGTTCATGAAGCCGCCCGAGAGCACCTCACCTCGGCCAAATCTTCTGGAATTTAAAACGGTTCTTTTTTTACAGTCTGGTTTACATCATGTTGAGAAGACGCTGTGTTCAACGATACCACAGCAATACAGTCCGAACCTTTTGTTGTTGTGCTTGTCATTTTACCGAGTACTGCTTCTCTAATCTTGGCTTTTAACTTCGTTGGCTTCTAATCTTCTTTATTTGGACTAACAAGCGTTTCCGAAACATAGCCTGTAACTACAATTGATACGTTATGTGTACATTCTCAATTGAGTGCTCAAAATATCAAGTTCCCTTTCATGGGAACTTCGAACTGCGTCCTCTAGGGGCCGCTATGGGGAACACCTCGTCGTGACCCGTGTCTGAAGCATACATTGAAAAAACACCAACTCGTTGGCCGGCGACAGCCATGACGTCACTACCGGTGCGACTACAGTATAAATAGGCGCCGGGAGCTTTGACGTCATCTGATCCAGGGGCCAGTGCTCTGCTGGGTCCAGCCCAGGAAGAGCAGGAAATGGATGAAGAGAGCGAAGAAGCTGAGGCTGAGCCTTCTCAATCCTCCTGCCCTGCGTATCATGAGCTCTTAGAGGTTATGGATCGCGCCAAGGTAAGGCTTGACTTGCCGTGGAAGCGGACTAAGGAAGTGACGTCGCGAAGTTGTCTCGAGGAACGTTATCTTTCTGGCAATAACCCTCCAGCTCAGGTGAGCCTTCCTTTCCTTCCTGATCTCCATACTGGGATCAAGAAGGAATGGAAGAAGCCGTTTTCCTCACGCATCCATCGGTTTCAGCATACGAGTTATGCCAACATCAAAGGCCCTAGAGGACGCAGTGTCTCGTTCCCTACTCAGGGAACCATGGTTACACAAGTAACCTGAGACGTTTTTTGTGCTAATATGTGATGTATACCTAGTGCAGCTTTACTGAAATAGTTCTGATAATTCGTTCTAATTACTTCGTTTAATAATACAGAATGTAGTGTAGTGCACAGACTTTATAAGCATTCTAAAATTGCTGTTTATTTTGCTGCACCGGCAGTTATAGGGTTAATGCAAGAGAGACGAGCGAGTTAGTTAGGCTGGTGCGCCTGTGATACAGCTGTTCTGCATTCTGATTAAAAGTTAAGACAGAGAGCGTCTTTTGTCTGTCGTTCTTCAGATATATATATATATATATATAGTGTGTGTGTACATATATAATATATAATATTATATACATATATAAATATAATATAAATATAATATAACATATATAAATATAAATATGTACAGCCATGATATTTCTAGTTTTTTAACAGTATGGGTAAACGTTCTGAATAAATGCTATGTATCAAATTAAAGAAGAGAATGCTGAATCCAACAGTTTTGTTATTTATTCAATTATTTAATCAATTTTTTTGTATTGTTATTTCCAGATCAAGAGGAAGGTAGTTCACTTATAATCAATTGAAATGATGGGAGTTTAAAAAATTCACCTGTTGGCAGCAACACTTTCTGTTTTCCCCTACTTGACATATCAAATAAAACAGTATCCTTCCTTGAAATATAATTTTTTTTTCTGTGTGTCGTTTAATTTCACATTTAAAACAAAACAGTCTCAAGCTCAGCGGACAGAGAAAAGAATCAGGGAGGAGTTTAAGAAACTCCAGCAGTTCCTCAAAAAGGAGGAGGAGAGCAGGATAGCGGCTCTAAATGAAGAAGAGAAAGAAAAGAGCGGTCAGATGAAGAAGAAAATGGACGTGCTCTCAGATAGAGTCAGAGAAGTGGAGGAGCGAATGAAGGACGATGATATCACCTTCCTTCAGGTTGGGAGAGCAATAAAATTCACACACTCGCACGTTTTGTTATTTTCACTAATAGTCACTAATCTAGTTGTCACAATGTGAATCCCCACAGAATTATAACGGCATTATGAACAGGTATTTTGTTTGTTTTCTAGAAGATAATATAGAAATATATAATACATTTCAAACTTGAAATCCATTACTCTAATGTGTGTGTGTGTGTGTGTGTGTGTGTGTGTGTGTTTAGAGCTAGATACACACTTCCAGATTCAGAATTGAGTCTAGAAGCTCTTATTGATGTTTCTAAACATATGGGCAACTTGAAGTACCAAGTCTGGGAGAAGATGAAGGACATCTGCCCTTACTGTGAGTACTAGATGTCTTTGATCTTACAGTAACAAGCATTTGCAAGGGGACAACTGTAGATCCCACCAGTTGATTAATCACAGTATGACAGACTTGCATATAAGCTTTCAAATGTTATTTTTAAATATGCAAATGAGGCACTATCTAACTGAACAGGGCTGTCCAATCCTGCTCTTGAAGGGCCAACATCCCTACAACTAGCTCCAACACAGGTGTCTAGAAGTTTCTAGTCTTCTAAAGAGAGTTTCTAGAGTCTAAAGAGCTTGATTAGCTGGTTCAGGTGTCTATGTCAAAATTCTTGTTTGATTTTGTTGAAATATTAAAGGTTTATCACGTCATAATAATAATAATAATATCATAATAATATCAACAGACAGAAAACAGCATGTCTTTGGGCATAAATTGTTAAATAAATTAATATAAATAGTACATGAACAAACTCAATAAAAATAATTCAGAATATAGACAGGAACAAAACTGTAAAGTTTGGTGTATGTAAGTGCTGCTGAAGTGGATAAAAACTCTTTAAAGATATGAATTAGAATTAAAGGGTTAGTTCACCCAAAAATTACTCACCCTCAAGTCATCCTAGGTGTATATGACTTTCTTCTTTCAGACGAATCCAGTCAGAGTTATATTAAAAATTGTCTTTGATCTTTCAAGCTGTTTAATGGCACTCAGCAGGTGTTGCAGGTGCATCACTCCAAAAGAAGTTAAATAAAAAGCGCCCATCCATAAAAAAAGGGTCTCACATGGCTCCGGGGGGTGAACAAAGGCCTCCTGTAGCGAACCGATGCATTTTTGTAAGAAAAATATCCATATTCAAAACGTAATAATCACTTTAATGTAGCTTGCGCCAACAGTTGTACACAGAAGCAGCTCTGGGCGGATGACGTATGATGAACACGGAAGCGCAGCAGAGAGATCAAAACAATGGTCACGAATTAGAAGTACAAAATGAGGATTTGTAAAGAAGAATGTCAGAGGATT